AATTTAAATGATTGGTTTTAAAATCAACGGATTGGAATAGCTGATTCAAAGTAATGACAAAATCGATAAAGTCAAAATCGATATCAGCGCAATTTATTTGCAGTGATTGAATCAACTTAATCAAATCAACAGATGCGAATAAAATTATTTAAAAAAAATTCATTTCAATCAACTGTTTAAAATTGATTCAAACCAATAGATTAGAACCATTCATTCGAAACTGTCTTAGAATTGATGTATGAGTTTTATTCAGACTAATCGATATCGATATGAATCAATCAGATCCAACTCAACAAATTTAGGTCTGCAGATTAGAAACCCTAATCTGAATCAACTAATTTAAATAATTTGGATTGGAACTAACTGCGGTAACATCTGTTAAGTATGAGACACATTAAAATAAATGACACAATTTGAATGCAAAATGGATAAAAATTGAAGTTACGCTGTAAAAACTGTGGTGTAAGACCTATGCGAAATTGAGAAAGTTTGCACTAAGCTCAAATACCATTCATGATTTATTTTCGTACATTTGAAAATCATCAGATGACGAAGGTAGATTATTTACAATCGAGCACGAGAAGGTGAACGTTTCTTTATTATCTCGTACGCTGCTGAACAATCACAGAAACAAAAGTTAACTCTAATAAAAAGGCATGTATGTTTTTTGTTGTACAGTAAAAATAATTATGTTCTCATAAGCATATTTATATAAATCTGTCAATTGTATTAAATTGTTTTATAACACGCTTCAATTTTGTTAAACCTAGTTCAAATTCATCTTAATATTTTCTCTGTGTTGTTTGTACAAATTACAACAATAACGAATAAATTACAAACTAAATTTATTTTAAGAATTAGTATATGTATGCAACCTAAATTATATACTTGCAATTATATACTCTAATTGATACTTGCTTTATATTTTCTCGTAAAAAATAACTTTACTGATCCTAATATGTAGTATAACTTACTTTAATTATAAATGCACTAAAATTTTTTACTATAAAATTTTATAAATACGATAATATATATGGCAAAACTTTTTACTGAGTTCCCAATTTCCCAGCTGTTCCCAATTTTTTCCTACTACGGAACCCTAAATGATTGTACTTCTTTTGGTGAAACCCTTACTCTAGAAATACTGTTCATTAGCGGTTGTGGATGCATTAATTAAAGAAAGATAATTAATTATTTTGAAAAAAATTAAATAAGAAGAAAGTAATTTTTTCCTTCTTTTTATCGATGGTTGTTTTAGATTTCATATTTGAAAGTTGAAATCTCAGATCTGAATCGGCATCTGCAGATAAATTTCCGATTTCTTTTTTTTTTTTTTGTGTAAACATAACTGAAAGTTAGTAAAATATACAGAATAAGGTTTTTTGATAAAAAAAAAATTAAAACACTAATTAAAATGTTGAGAATGGTTTTCATTGAAACTTATTGCGCTTTTGTTAAATTTATAGATTTCAATTGCCAATAATAGTGCAATTTTTTTACAAATGTTTTTTCTTTCTTTTAAACTGAAACTTATTTCGATATTGTTAAATTTTTATCTTTTTCAATTGAAAATAATAGTGCAACTTTTTACAAATGTTCTTCCGTTTTCTATTCTATTCCTATTTTATTCATAATATTATGTGTCAGAATTTTTTTTCTTTTAATTTGCTATTTTTCTTTACACTGACATTTTTTACACTGGCACGGAAACCTAGGGTTCCACGGGACACCTTTATGGAAAGGCTGGTGTTGTGGATGAATGACTTCGAAAAAGTATTATTCCTAGGTGATTGATTGTACAGTAAAAACAAATAAGTTTTCATCAAGCATATTTTTAAAATTTATTTTTTATTTCTTCATTTTTTGCTGTTGTACCATATAGTAAATATACAAAATTTGCTTATAAATCTTCTGCAAGACACTTTTTTTCAAATTTAAAATCTTTACGTAACATAGTCTGAAGCAGACATATTAAATTTTAAGATTAAGGATATCTTTTATTTATTTCATATAAAAAAAATGTCCATAATTATATGGTTTTCAGTACATTTTGATAAAGCAATGAATTTCAAATATTTTGAAAAATTTCTAAATTAAAAATTATTTTTCGTTCTTTTTCTATTATTATTATTTTAAAAATTATGCATAAAAATAAGTAAAAAAATTTCTTAATATTTTTTAACACAAATTAAAGTAAAGTACGGAAAATATATATGTTACCGCGAATGACTGAAATCAAGAAAATGTCGAATTTTAATTTTAAGAAAAATATTCGGAAATAATTAAATTTCATTTTTTAAATTTGGGAATATTTTTTAAAAAAGAATTTTTTTCTCCTCCTTTAAAAAATCTTTATATATTTTTCCATACGTTCTCGATATTTTTGACTTATCATGAGCTCTATGTACTTGTATCTTATACGCAATAAATAAAACTTATTATTGTTTTTCTTAATTATCTACGTTAATATTTTGTTCGTTTTATATATATATATATATAGGTAATACAATATTTTTTAATACTTAAAATATTCTCTTTTTTTGATATTCTCGTGAATTGAATAAATAATTAACACAATATGAATAAAAATAATCATTTAACGCAAAATAAAATAAAAAATCGTTATAAATATATACAATATTTGTAGAAGTAGTAAGTCTTTCAATTTCTTTATAAGTATATATAAACGAACATAAATAAATATATAGTAACATTAATACATAAATAAAAAAAAAGAAAACTGAATAAATAATTAACTTAAAATAATTATTAAATATAGAATAAGGAAAATGCTGAAAAATAATAGCAATATTTGTAGTCTTTCAATTGCTGTCATAAGTATGTGTAAAGCTGAACATAACTAAATAAAAAATAATATTAATTAAAAAATAAAATAAATAAATAAAATGCCAAATAATTAAAATTTAAATTTAATAATTAATTAATGAAAAATTATTTTTAAAATTATTTAACATAAAATAAAGAAAATGGTAAAAAATAATAACAATGCTTGCAAAAGTAGAAAGTTCTTTCAATTGTTGTCATATGTATGTGAAAGCGAGCATAAATATATAAGTAAGCAACATTAAGTCAATAATGTTAAATAATTAAATAAGATACCAGACAAAATGTAAAAAGCTTAAAAATTAGTGTATTTTAATTTAAAAATATTTATTAAATTTGAAATTAGGAAAATACTGCTAAATACATTGTTTGAAAAAGTCGAAAGTCTTTTGTTTTCTGTGAATCTGAAGAAAAAAAAAACAATATTAAATAAATAATTAATATTAAATAAATAAATTAAGTATAAACTGAATAGTAAATTTAATACGAATAATTAAAATAATTATTAATAAATTTAAAATAACTATTTTATGTAAAGTAAAGAAAATGCTGCAAATAAAGAAAAATTGTAAGAGAAAGTGTTTGGATCTCTGTCATAAGTAATTATGGCAGCCATAATTAATATTAAATAAATAAATGAAGTATAAACTGAATAGTAAATGTAATACAAATAATTAAAATAATTATTAGTAAATTTAAAATAATTATTTTATGTAAAATAAAGAAAATGCTGCAAATAAAGACAATACTTGAAGTAATAGAAAGTATTTGAATGGCTGTCATAAGTATAGGTGGAGTCCGGGTTTCCGAAAGGGGCAAAAGGGGGTGTGATAGTTTCTTCAACAAAAACTAACTTGTAATTGACCCCTATTTGTAAGAATGTTTACAGGGTTCAAATTTCAAGTGGTGATAGGAGCTTGTACAAGAAAAATTTATTGGCCCTCACGAAAAGAAATAAGGAAGTCAATTTTAACTTGACTCGGTATCTGACCTTGTGCGGGTGGCGGAATTTCTTTCATGGAGGAAAAAAATAAAAAAAAAGGTGCCCTCAAACGAGCTGGAAAATTGAACACCGGAAGAGTTTGTTTTTAAAAGTGACTAGATAATAGCTGGGTAAAATGGGCGCGTCGAACTTCAAGAAATGCATTTCAATGGAATTGTGAGAATATATTCCCACGAATAATTTGTTCCTACATTTTGATTATATGTCCTACCGTATACAGATACAAAATAAGAGTTTGAAAAAAAGAAATACATCAGTTTACAAACTGAATTGTTATTTTGGTTTCGATTTGTGATCGTTTAGTTTTATTCCAATAAATTGGATTGGATTGTAAGTGAATTAGATTTTTTATGTCACACACTTATTTCAAAAGAATTTATTTATTTATTTTTTACTACTAAATTATTTAATGTTCATATTGTTTTTTTTTCTTTTAAATTCTTTTGTGTTTATATATATATGTATAAATAAAGATAGATAAGTTAAAAATGTAGAGTTAATATAATAAAAATTAAATATAGTTAACAGATAAGTTAATTATAATAAAAATTAAGGAAAAGAGAAGTAAAAAAATTATTAAAATAAAATATTTTTAAAAATATTAAAGAAAAAGAAAAATTTATTTAAAAAAAAAAGCTTTTTTTTTATTGTGATATATATATATATATATAAATAATGAATTATAAGAAATTTCGAAAATTTCTCTATTATAAAAAATTATGTTTTCTACTTAAACTAAAATTTATCTTAATGAAGACTATTTTTCATTCCTTTGAATGCAATAGGTTTGTCACAAAATCAAATAAAAGTAAGATTATTAATCGCAATAATAATAACTATTTTTGCTTTAAAAGTAAATTTTCTATCCGATATGAAAGCTGATAAATTACATTTCTAAGCGCAAATAGATTTAGTACATCGTTTGAAAGTGGACTTTCTCTTCTGTTGTTACACCTCTGCTATCTTATCACCTGACCTTGTTCCTACTACTCCAGGCGTCAAGCGTGCCGAACTCAAATGTAAGTAACGCCCTATCTGATTGGTCAACAGGCAAATAAGTCTTGTTGGCGCCGCAAAGGTTTTTCTCCAATCGCATTAGTCGTTACAAGTTTGTGTTAGGAGTTTGATGACGTATGATAAAAGCTCCTCCTTCAAGGATATTCCTCCTCTTGTGTTGGCTGCTCCGCTGTGCGCCAGAAAAATTTTTTTCGCTATCGATCCGAGCTATTTTGTGTTTCTTCGGTTTTGCGCCCGAAACTTATTGTGTGACCCCCCCCGGCTAGTGTTTATTTATTTTGTGTAACACAATTAACGCAAGACCCGAGCCCCATCAGCAAGTAAAAGTGTGGTCCAACTGACGAACCAAAATATTGTACACGCGTTTCGAGATTTTCACCCAAATCTTGATTAAACGACGAAATTCTGTTGTGATCTTTTATGTTGTGTATTTCCTCTGTCGTTTGCTTCGAATGTACATGTGGGCTTGGTCGTCCATGTTTTCGAATGAAAAAGAGAAATGTTTACGACAGCTGGTCCGATATTATGCTGAGTGGACCGGATTAAAAGTTCTTATTATATTCCAGGATATGTGATATGAATTTTGTGCTATGGTGTTACGATAAATAATAAACGTTCATATATCTTAGTGTGGGTGATTTGGAAAAATTTGTTTATGATATTTTTCCCGCCTATACAACGATATTAAATTATTCTGAATGGTCGTGTTTATCAATGGTGCTGGTTAGTGCCGAAGGATCGGAGCTAAGAACTGACATGGAAGCTCCCGAAAATCCTATTCTATTACCTAAACAAACAACCTGGACCAAAGGGGATGACCACATGGTTTTTCTTGACAACACGCGCCTTAAATGTAAGTCTTTTTTTTTTTCTAAAAAAAATTGTATATTTTTTCCCCTCACTATCGTCTGCTCCTATTATTAGGGAAGCGCACTGTCTGCAGACGAAAATAGGATCACATGGTTTACCTTGGCAACAACTGCATCATACATACAATTGCGTAACTGTTTTCATTTCTGAAAAATTAATCTTAAGGATTTACATATGTTACTTGTTCAATTAAAACCTTCGTATTATAAATTTATACATATTCTTCTTTTTTTTCTTTTTTTTTTGTTTGCAAAATATAATTTTCATAAATTTCTGTTAGGCTTTAGCTGGCTGAAAAAAAGTATGATTCAATAGTATTTGTAATTTTTAAGTAGTTTTTTGTCATATTTTTTTTATCCTTAATGTTATGATTTTAAAAAAAACTTCTAACATGGGTTTATTGTTTATGTTTATCACGTGGGTTGCATGTTTACGTTATGAACGGGTTATTCGGAGTCATCAGAAAATTCGTAATAATTTTCTGAATTATAGTTTCATTTATTTAAAACATATACCTGTTACTTTCGAATTAATGTATATTTATATATTTTATTAGTTTAATAAATTTAAATTGTAGTTTTAAAAGTTATAATGTTTGACTGGATAAAATTGTCCTGATTTACTCGTATTTTAAATTTTTTTCAGTGGTTTTAGAGGCAGAATATTGCGTTTCAATATTCTTTGTTTATTGCGTGGGCTGCGTGTTTAAGTAATTATTTATGTTTAAAAGATAGACGGTTTTCTTTGATACTTGTTCTCATTTAAAAGAAAACTTCACCATGCGACTTTTATTCGAAATATTATTTTTTAAATAATTATATAAATTATCATTTCCTTATTATAAATCTCAGTTTTTACACTATGAAGCGCGGATTCCACCATCTACTCAACACCCCCCACTCCCATCAAAAACTTTTATTATTATTATTATTTTTTAAAAAAATTAATCATTAGAATGATATAAACCTGACTCTTTAATGACTCGTGAATTTTATTGATCGAACTTAATCGTTTTATTGTTTATTATGCTTCGTTCGATTGTTTGGTTATTATTTTGATTATCAATACTCTTAGATTAGCGCAAGTATTCGAACTAATCTAAAAATAATGTGCGATCATTATTGTTTTCTTTATCACCATTAATACAGATTGTGGTGTTAATACACTGAGAAATTTGTTTCGTGTATTTTGGAGTTAAAAATAATTATTATTGTGACGCATGTAGTGAGTTACAGATCATTAATTTTAATATTCTTTTGCTTAAAGTTAATTCGATAAGTTGATTTACAAATAAAATTTTTTAATGAAATAAAATTTATTTTTAAATGAAAATTAATGATTTAAAAAACAAGAGCTCAGTCCCTCTTTTTTTAAAAACCAACCTGTTTTCTTTTCATTTGTTTATTTATTTCCCTAAATATTTGCTTTTTTTTCAAGTCTCGAAGTTCAAATGTATTAAGTTTGCATTTTCTTGAATTTTTAATGATATAAAACGGTTTTGCTAATCGAAAATTATTTCCTAATAGCATGACTTAATTAATCATTCACGTATTATTACTTATTTTTTAGTCCATTGGTTAATTGTTTTTCTGATTTTTTGCTTTTAAAGAGTTGTTCGGCTTATCCTATAAAAACTATTTTTGTCCAATATATTTCTTTTCGTTTTTAATCCACGTGTGCGTTTTATTTTGTATTTTTAATCGTAATTTCAATAGCTGCTTAAAATGATTAAGGTTTTTCTTATAAACTTAAGTATGAAACGAATTTTTACAATTTAATTACAGACCTTTTTCCTCAAATATAAAAATTATTTTCTTGTCACGTGGTTCAAATATTTAGCGATAGTGGCGACATTTTTAAGAAGTACCGAATTATGTGAATGACCCGGTTTCTCCAGGTGTTAGAAAATCGCCACTGAATTTCTGTGTAATTCAGTTTTTTAAATTTAAATTATTCTATTCGATATTAAGTTACATTACAAAGGACGTGCCTCTTTCATTTAAATCTGATACTTGACATTTATTTTTTATTTTCAAGAGCCCTATTATTTGTTGAAGAATAACAATGTTCGAAGAAGTGAAATTTATGCGTTGCTTATGTTTTTAAACTTTTAAAGTTTGAACTAGTTTCTCATATATTTGTTTTTTTTTGTTAAAATATTTTTTTTATTTGTTGATTGTTATCACGTGGTTTTAAATTTTTAGTTCATTGTTTTTATTTGCAATGTGTACTTTTTTTTCTCCATTTCTATTATGCTAAGTTTCTTTGAAATGTCATGTGAGTTTATTCATAATTTATTTCGTATTTCTTATCGTTCTGGAGCTAGGTTGATTAATCCTTTGTGTTGAGGCATGATAAAGTTTTTCATGTTAGAAAGTACGAATTGTTCACGTAATTTTTCAAATTTTAGTTATTTTTCAGTCACTCAGTTTTTGTGTTTAGTTAGTTGTTTTTGTTTATGGTTAAGTTTTTTTTCCGTAATACTTTTCTTGATTTTAATTTAAATTCTTCCGATTCTTAATCCTATTAAAATAGTTAAAGTGGTTAATTTAAACTTTGCTTTTCCAATTTCGAATCATAACTTTTCCAATTTTAGATGGTTTGATTCTTAAAAAGATTGATTCATATATGCATGAAATAGTTTTTCGCTTTTGAAATTATTCTCTAAATTTATTGTTAGAATAGTTATAATTTTATTTGTTTTTTAAATTCATTTTTTGTTTTTTCTTAGTCATTTTTTAATGTTTTTTATTTTCCCTTTTTTGTTTTGAATTATCTTCTCCGTTCTATTTATTTCTTAAGTTTCATTAAAAGAGCCGCGAGGATACATTTGAATTTTTAGCTGTTTTCATTTCCGTATGTTTTAAAACACGAGATCATTTTTCCTCTCTGAAATTATCTCTCCATTTAGCTTACAATAATTATTGTTCCAATATTTATGTTTAGGTCTTTTTATGTGTAGGAATTCATGTAAAATTCTACAGCTAAAGTGCTTCAATCTCTGCTTATTTCATATTTCCTTATACAGGCATCATTTACTTATGTTTTAACATCTTAATTTTTTTTCTTCAAAAAAATGTAACGAAAAATAACTAAGAAATTATGTTAAGTAATATTTTTAATCTACTATTAACTGTGAATGAGTTTGAAAATTATTTCACCAACAATAAATAAATAAATAGTAGGATCGAAAGTCATCACCACTTAGGGGATCCCCAGAAATGATGAATTTTGACCTTACTATTTATTTTTTCTTTGTATATTGGATTTATCCCCTCTGACGCATGTTATGCTAATTGCTGTAATATTAAGTTATAAAATATTCTTATTTTTGGAGCTGCTAATGTAATGAAGTTTACTATTCTTTTATGTTGAGATTGTAAAAATTAGGCTTTGTTTTGTTTATAGTTTTATTAAATATTTTCATTTATATAAAAATAACAACTTGTTTCGACGATTTTTAAATGATGTGCATTGTCACTTCCAGTGCTATAGTGTGCCAAGTGTTCCGTTTTGTGCCAAGTGTTCTCTTGGCTGTGTTTACTTGACTACTTTACAGCATTTTATAGGGGCAAAGTAATTATCTTCCATTTTTCCTTACTATTTGTCTCAGTTTGTATTCAATAATTAATTAAGTATTAATTGTCGTCTTAAAAGAGCAGGCAAAAACATTTAAACTTTTAAATATCTTTTTAGAGATTTATTTAAAATTAAAAAAGTTTAAGACGTTGCAATTTTTAAAATGTACAATATTGTGCGCGTTTTATAAAAAGTAAATTTTTATGTATCTCATGCCCATAGTATTATAATAAATTATTGACCTTTAGCTTTGGGAAGCTGTTAATAGATATCTTTAGATTTATGACTTAACTGCTTAATAATTTTTATTTTGTTGACTTGTATGGCTAAATGCCTGCTTGTTTTGTTGCTTTAATGTGTGTTCTATCAGTCCTCAAATCGGATTGGGGATTTAAAGTGTTAAAGTATATTTTTAATAATTATTATTTAATGCACACTCCATATGTTGGATTAATCAGTTTTATTTTTCTATGTATTTAAGCAAAATTTTATATACCACTGAAATTCGTAAAGAAAAATATATTGGAGCAAAACCCTAATTAATTTTAAGTTTGAAAATAAATTTTCACACAACAGTTTTTTTTTCTTCAATTGCTGAAAGTTTAAGTTTCAGAAAAAAACAATTTTCAACAAATCACGCGAGTTTCTTTTTTTAATTCTAGGAGCATATTCTGTTCCTGAAATAAAGATTCCATCGTTCCAAAGTAAATTGCCGTTAAAGAGGAGTCTTTTTTGCGATTCGCAGAACGTTTGTAGAGGTCCGTCAACGGACACTTCACAATTTTTGTTTTTAAATACTTTAGCTCAAGAAAGGGTCCTTTCACAATATTAAGGGTTTTAAAATTAGATTTCCGGCATGTGTAAGGGTTGGAGAACTGGCCTTGCATCAGAAAAGTTCTGGGTTCGAATCCCGGGTAAGGTTTGGATGTTCTTTCATTCTCTGTACCATCTGTCTTTACTGTGGGAGCAACATTGGCCCACCTAATATGGTGCCCCGGAGAAGTAGCCAGCATATCTGCCCTGTAAATGCCTGTATGACGAAAGGTCATTCCCCTGGCGAGCATTGAAAAATAAAGATTCTTCACAAAACTCCTTTATTGAAAGAAGGAATTGATGACGATTTTAATTCATAGTTTGAAAACTAAATTTTTATATACTTTTTATAAAGTATATATTTAATATAAAAGTTTAAATTTATTATTTTATAATATATTTATGTCTATATCAAAATACAAAAATGTAATCATAGTTTTTTTTAAAAATTTTTATGCAAAATAATGACTTTCTTTTCACTTTGCAAAGACAGGCTCGAGACAGCAAGAACACCATTTTATATTAATTTTAAATTCTGAAAATTACGACTTGATGTTTCACAAAAACGGGACAGACTTGGGTCGGGACCGA